TATGTGTGTAGGGCGTGTTGCATGATATGTGTGTGTCTCTCTGGGGTGTGTGTCTGTGTGGGGTGTGTGTCTGTGTGGGGTGTGTGTTTTTGTGGAGTGTGTGTCTGTGTGGGGTGTGTGTGTGGGGTATCTGGGGTGTGTGTTTTTGTGGAGTGTGTGTGTGGGGTGTGTGTGGGGGGTGTGTATCTGTGTGGGGTGTGTGTCTGTGTGGGGTGTGTATCTGTGTGGGGTGTGTGTCTGTGTGGAGTGTGTGTCTGTGGTGTATGGGTGTATCTGTGGGGCATGTATGTGTGTAGGGCGTGTTGCATGATATGTGTGTGTCTCTGTCTGTGGGGTGTGTGTCTGTGTGGGGTGTGTGCATGTCCATGTCGGTTAACCTACCCTATGGCATCAGCTAAGATTCCCCAGTGGCTTGTTTGGGAGCCGTGTGGGGGTGGGGGGGGCGGGGCGGGGATGTGTATGTGTCTCTCTGTTGGCCGATTCTCCGGCATCACTGAAGGCTCCCTGCGGCATATTCAGGAGCTACGCACTCACAGAGACCTCTTAGGTCTGCGCGGACCCCGAGTGGCTCTCTGGCGGGTTGTGGAAAAACTGGCCACCGCCCACCTGTGCTTTGTCTCCAGCATCGGTTCTCTCCCACAGGGGCTTTTGCTACTTCAACTCCGTGGCCGTGGCAGCCAAGCTTCTGCAGCAGAGGTTGAGCGTGAGCAAGATCCTCATCGTGGACTGGGTAAGCAGAGCCGCCGCCTCAAGCACGGCTCAGGTTGCTGCTGTGTCCTCCCCGACCAGACAGCAGCATGTGGAGAGAGGAGGGGGGCTCTTGGATTTGGGAAGCTCAGGTTTCTGGAAACAGTCTCAAAGATGCGGAGAATTAAAGCCCCAAACCTGCTACAAGTCATTCTATAGCTTCCATCAGCCGACCCCGGCGAATGGGGTCCTGGCGTGTCCAGAAATGTGCCTGTGGGTGAGGGCAGCAGCCAGGGCCACCCTTGGCGAGATCTTCTTGGAAGGCAGGCGTTGGGGAGGAGGCTGTGTCCACATCGACTTTGTGTGTGGCCTGGGAGCCTGGGAGGGCCCTGACCTGGCCGAAGGCGGCACTCTCCTCTCAGTCACCGCGGTGAAACCCGTGCCTTCCTGCTGCTGTGTGGGCACCTGGTCCTGCTGGAATGGGGGCTGCCACTGCCCCAAAAGAGTCATCTCTTTTTAAATAATGCTATATGGTGTCTGAATCTACATTCCACGAATAGGTATACTCATTCTTATACCGGAAATTAATGTTCAAGGTGTTCATCTTACTCCTCTTTTTAAAGCCAGATATATACATATTTAGTGTTCTCTTTGGTATTTATGATTTGTTTCATAATTTTAAGGAGAAAAGCAGGCCCTGTCAGGTAGGGTTATGATTTGAATTGGAAAAGTCCGTCTGAGTTTGGGTAAAGAAACAATGTGGCGCAGCCAGGACGGCCAGACAGCCCCCAGCCGGCCGTGCGCTTTCGGAGAGGCAGGTCAGGGGATGCGGCAGAGCAGCGGGTCCTCCACACCCAAGCACCTGGGAGCCGGGAGCCCTCCCTCAGCTCCTCCTGAGGGAGCCGGTAGGAGTGCCCAAGAAGAGAGCAATGTGAGGCTGCTGACGGCTAAAGACCGGGGACCCGTCCCCAACACAGAGTGAAGCGCTAGGGCACGCAGACAGGCTGCGTAGACCCCGTGTGGTGTGCTCCCTGCACGCTGAGCTGTGATGTTGCAGAGTGAAGCGCTA